TTTTTCCAAAAAGATGTGTTCCATCTTTCGAACCGTTCCAAAAACTTATCCCATTTTCGAACCGTTCCACAGACAGTTCCATCTTTTGAACCGTTTTGCATTTTTAGAATCTTTTTAACCGTTTCTAAAACGTTCCAGCTTTCAAGCCATTTCTGAGACAGTGCCACGTCTTTCAACCCGTTCCAAAGACAGTATCGTCTTTCGGACTATTCCGGAAACAGTCGAATTATTTCTTAGACAGTTCCATCTTTCGAACCGTTTAAAAGTCAGTTGCAGCCTTCGAATCGTTTCACAGAAAGTTCCATCTTTTAAACCGTTCAAGAGACAGTTTAATCTTAATTTCAATCGTTCGGAGACAGTTCCATCTTTCGAACCGTTTAACAGAAAGTTCCATCTTTCAAACCGTTCCAGAGACAGTTGAATCTTAATTTCAACCGTTCGGAAACAGTTGCATCTTTCGAACCTTTTATAAGACAGTCCGGTCTTTTGAACTATTCTAAACACAGTTTAATGCGATGACGGTTTGAAACAAAATAACTCAAATTATAGATTAAAATTACATTTGAAGCTTTGTTTACATTTGTACATAGCAAATATTCCTATTAAACCGTAATCTAAGGATCGGATGAACCTGCGGCAGATATTTCCAAATTTCGAAATATCGAACTTGGTTTAGTCAGCTCCACCCTTATAAATATATACTTTAACCAGGTGTCTCCGCCCCTTGGTTTCATCATGATAAGAAATAATGGATGGATAGATAAAATGATCTGAAAAATATCGTTTTTACACCATTATACAAGATACAGGATACACGATACAGGATATAGGAAACAAAATACAGGATACAGAGTTTTTATAGAAATACTAGAACACTATAGAAAGAAATACCTCTCGAAATCAGTGAGAAAGGTTGGGTGCTGCATAGTCGACTGCAGGGAATATAAAAATTGGAGTTAGAAAGACAGGGAATACAAAGACTTGTGGAGAATACAGAACTAGGAATACAGGAAATACAAAGACTAGTGGAGAATGGAGCATTAGGAATACAGGGAATAAAAGGACTAGTATAAAATATAGAGCTAGGAATACAGGGAATACAAGGAAAAGTGGAGAATAGAAAACTAGGAATACAGGGAGAAAAAGACTAGGGGAGTATACATAGCAAGAAATAAAAGGAATGCAAGGACAAGTGGAGAATAGAAAACTAGGAATGCAGGGAGAAAAAGACTAGGGGAGTATACATAGCTACGAATACAGGGAATACAAAGACAAGTGGAGAATAGAAACTAGGAATACAAGGAGAAAAAGACTACGGGAATATACATAGCTAGAAATCAAAGGAATACAAGGACAAGTGGAGAATAGAAAACTAGGAATACAGGGATAAAAAGACTAGGGGAGTATACATAGCTACGAATACAGGGAATACAAGGACATGTGGAGAATAGAAACTAGGAATACAGGGAGAAAAATACTAGGGGAGTATACATAGCTAGGAATACAGGGAATACAAGGACAAGGTTTTGTAAGATTTGAATTATTGTATTTATTACCAAACCTTATAAACAAGTCAATTATTATTCTTTTATATCTTTTTTGATTATATTCCCCTCTCTGTAGAAAATACAATGCATTTAATTTATTTTCAGGTCTTTTCAGATGTCAGGTTACTTTTATATATAATGTATATCAAGGTTATAATGCAAAGAAAGTTATTTCAGAGGTGTACGCATCTTTTGTACTGCAGTGTACTGTCACTGGGCGGTGATGTAAACACAAGACGGATGTCGAAGCCTGACATGGGATCCATCTTTTTCATAACAAATCAATGAAATATTCTGGTCATAGAAAACTATTACATGAATTATCAAAGTTATCAAGATTTAATGCTTTTAACCTCCTCGAATACTAAACGAAAACTGATGCATCTATTCTTGTTTACAAATTCCTCCCAGAGAGAACTGGTTTCAATTTGTACACAACTGCAGTTAACTTTCCTTGCATTATAACCTTGATGAATTTAATGTTTTGTTCTTTAATGCCCCAAAGAAATAATTTCTGTACTGCTTCCAAAAAAGGAAAAAAATAGATTTTTTTTGGGCTGTAAGCGCGCGTTATTTCAAGTGACCCTCCATGCAAACATGGTATTTGCCCGATTTACAACGGTACCCTTGAAACCTTAATCTGATCAAAAATATTGAAGGTTCTGTCGTCTTCCGACTCGAAAAAAATTTTATTCAGATAACTTTTCCACTGCTCATAATAGTTAAGCAAGAAATGCGCAATTGTCACTTTCGTAGAGAAACCGCAAATGAAAATAATCAGGTTTAAAAGAAACGTGGATATCTCAATCATTCATGATCCGCCATAAATTTTAAGGGTAATTCGGACATTTCGTCATTTTTGCATGGAGGGACTATTTAGAATATTCCTCATCAGTTCTTAGAGTCTTGGTTGGTTCCCTGAAACTTTAAACTTGTTAGTGTTTTCAAAAAAACATAATTATAATCGTTTAAAAACTGTATGTAAGGCAGAAAGCAAAACTCAGACTTTAGAGCGTTAAAAGTTTAGAGTTTTAGATCTAAAGTCTTAGTCTTAATTTTTAGGTAATCCTGTAAGTATATATATCTTTGATAGATAATCAATTTCAGTTTAACAATTACAATTAAGGCGTATATAGATTAATCACCAAACCTCTATATTTACTTCTCACACAACCTCTAATCCATACGGACAGGAAACTAAAAGTTAAAGCTTACATCAAAATCTCAAAAATGTACACAACAGACCTCCACCTTCTTTTAGCAAAATTGATAGGGTGGTGAATTTTGGATTTGATTCGAATGAAGTTAATATTTCATAATATTTTAACTTTCATACGATCTGTTTGTAAGTATTCACTTCTACAATTTTGACGATTTATATAACTAGAAATTCAAGGCGCTTCGCGCCCTTCTTTCTAGGCTTTTAGGGCGCTTCGCGCCCATCTTCTAAATTAATTGTGAACATGTTTTTTTTGTGTACATCGTAAAACAAAACAAAAATAATTCGCGGATTTTTACAAAAAGTTTCGTGGATTTTTAAAATTTTCAAAAATTTAATTTAGATCGAATTTTGATGAATATTTGAAATTTTGATCATTCGTAAACCTTCCCAATGGTCTCGTGATGTCCCACAAAAAATTTGGGCCCGATCGGTTCAGCCGTTTTGACGTTTATTGGATACAAACAAACAGACAGACAAACAAACAAACAAACAGACAGACAAGCCAAATTTATATATAGAAAGATGTAAAAGACATTTTCATATTTTCCAAAAAATGTTCAAAAATCCAACTCCATGAAATTCATATTCTGAAATTCTGGATTATATAAAGTAAAAATAATATGAAATACTAACTACATTCGAATGACCCGAATCCAATCCGAAATTTATGTATTGTTATAAACGAATAATAAGTTTTAAATTTAATTAAAAAAAATGTACAGGTTGATTGGAATAATGCACCTTTCAGAGAACTTACATGGGCTCTGAAAAATTCCCGAAATCACCCCCCCACCCCGTTCACGTAGAAATATTTTTATTTAACCCCTCCCTCCTGTAGGAATGTATTAAACACCGCGGGTTTATTGTTTTACTGAGAGATAAGTATTAAGATACGGAATTATGCTTTTAACCTACAGCACGCATCCATCTATACCCGGATATTTGCTCTTTAAACCTACAAAAATCTAGGATTCTCCGACTCCTCTGAACTCCTTGAACCTGGGTTTTACCATTTTTAAAGAAAGGTCCGATGCGGTTTGTTCTCTGTGTACATTTTTTACAGAATAAGATGAGATTCCATCCCGGCGTTTAAAAAATATAATTTTCTAGAAAATTTTGATTGCGGTTCGGGATGAAGCAACGATTCATCTTTATATTCTCCAG